TTTATTTGTTTAAATTGTTTTAAATTTTTATTTTTTTAATAATAAAAAAATAATATTAAATTTTATATATTTAATAATTAACATAAACTTCTATTATTCCCAGCCACTACGAGGACGGAGGAAAATTTTACCCCCACCAAAAATCCTTCTGGGGATCCATACCCGCGTTTACCTAGAATGGGGATGGAGAGAGGGTACCCGCCTTTATGGAGACCCATTGTCATCCCTATACAAAAGGGGAGAATAGTCAGAATACAGCAGGCCACGTCCCGGCAATCCATCTTTCCTTATCTCTCAGTTTCTGTCTCTCTGCTCCTAGCAACAGAGATCATGGTGGCGGCCACACTCTGCTTCCTCAAAACTCCCTATTCTCCCTCAAAAGCCCCTTCACGGCTACTCCAAACTTCCAAACCTTTCAAATCAAATTATCTCAAAATCCTACACATCCCCTCAAAAGATCTTCATCCGCTTCTCTTCCCCTCACAACCCTTGCACTACGTTTCTTTTTAGACACAAAGGCAAGTGAGTCAAGTGACAGTCTTTCTTCAATTTCGAAATTGAAATGTCAAAGGGTTAATCTGTTTTCTTCTGGGGGGTTTTGATTTTTGAACTGTGAATGAATGCACAGGATGCGCTTGCCATTAATGGGGAGTTTGGAATTCTGGAGGGGAAGAACGTTTTCTCTTATACACCCCATTGTGATGGGAGGGTTGTTCTTCTACCTTTGTGGGCCGGGAACTTGGGTTGGGAATGGAGGCGGGTCCGGACCATACAGAATGAGATTAACGAGCTTGAGAAGCAGGTTAAGCCCAACCCAGTGACCCCAGAAGGGACGCCAGTGGAAGCAGTGCCGTCGCCGGTCGAACTCAAAATTCAGCAATTAACTGAGGTAGGCTTTATCTCAATGAAAGTTTCTAACTTTCCTATACAGAACATGAAAGTCCAATACATTGCTATATTATACATGCGTGGTGCTGTAGGGATAACCTTTTTATACTATATTTTGATACAATTTTTAGGTGCTATTAAATGGCAGTTAAATTGTAACAAAAGTGGTATAAAATAATTATCCCAAAATCATTTCTCATTATATAGGCCATAGCTATGCCCCTAGTTTGAACTTTGAAGCTAATTTGCTGTAATATTATGGATATTGGTACTTATGTTACATGGCCTATGTGCTGAGTTCTAATCCTGACAAAAATCTGGCTGTTTGGGATCTAACTTCAGGAGAGGAAGGAGTTGTTGAAAGGGTCTTACAGGGACAGACACTTCAATGCAGGATCAATATTGTTAGGATATGGGGGGTATTTGAGTCTACTGCTGGAGGGGTCAAAACATGGTCGAGGACAGGAAAGCTCTTCCCTGCCCCCCATTTGTTTGCAGGAGGAAGTAAGAAATTTTTTAAATGGTTCTAGAAAAACATGCGGGTAGGCTGTAGCTGAACTGAAATTTAGATAATTTAAGCTGCTGGATTTTATTTCATCTCATTGGTTTGATTATTGTTTTACAGCCATTACCGTGCTATGGGCAGCATTAGCTGCTCTAGTTCCTTCAATGCAGAAAGGAGGTGGGACTGCAAGGAACCTTCACATTGCATTGAATGTAGTAAATGTTCTTCTTTTTATATGGCAAATTCCCACAGGATTTGATATAGTTCTTAAAGTGTTAAGAGTTCACTACGTGGCCTTGAATTAGCTTACTGTCAAAACTTCTCTGTTCTCTTGTGCCTACCCTTCTGTTTGTTTTCAGTTTCTTTTTGTTCTTGACCTCTCCCCTGATGTTGTTTATAGTGTTATACCAGGAAATAACTTGTATTTGGTTAGTGTATAAAGAATTACTACTACATGAGAGAGTTTGAATTCTAATTGGTATGCTTTTCTGTAGATATTATAATCAACTTTAAACTAACGTCGGCAAATTGATCTCAATGCTCAACCAAATAGTTAAAAGTGAAAAAGGAAAAAGACCCCTATTAGAATATTGTGAGAATATCAACATTTATTTTAGAATATTAGCATTTATGTTAAAATATTATGCTTCGTTGTAATTGATTATTTACATTTAAGGTAATTGGTTTTCTACCTAGAAGTATTCTATTATGGGAAATGATTTTTGGATAACTTTTTTGTACCATTTTTTTTTTGGTTTCTCGCCCAGTATCCGGGGTTTCGCCCCGACTACTCCTGACTCGACCAGCTGTGGCGCACCAGAATAGTGGGTTGGTCTCCCAACAAAATCTGCTGCGTACACAAGGTTTCGAACTCGAGATCTTGCTTAAGCTGGAACAAGTCGCTTGCCACTTGATCCAACCCCTCGTTGGTACCATTTTTTGGTACAACATGACGTGTCATTTAAATGATTGATTCTTTTAATTTATATAGAACTCATGATATTGAATATATTCATTCATTTAATGATATGTAAAAATTGTATAAAAAATGATATAAAAAAGTTGTCATTATAATACCACCCATTCTATTATATAGAAATAGAACCTTTATATATACAATGAAGATAAGAAAACAATAAACATTTCTTCAAATGTTTTTCATTCTTTTTTTATTTCTAACAAGTCTAAAACTGGATCTATTAATAAATAAATATTATTTTTCAATATAAATTTAAGGTTTATGTCTTGAAGTCTACGTTTAAAAAGTCAATTTTTTTAATTGTTGCAATGAATGCATCAAATTGATATGAAAAATGTGTTTTTAAGATTATACGATACATGAGAGGTGTGCTTTTAAGATTATTTGGAGAAAGAGTAGTTTTTAAGATATGTAAAATTTAATTTAAAAATACTTTAATTGTAACTAAAAAAAGTGAGAAAAGAAAAAAGAATGATATTCCAAATGACCCACTCCTAACTCCTAAGTTCGTTTCTTCTTATGGACAACGATGCTGTTCCTCATTTCAACTTCAATCACAACAAACAACTTCACAACAGCTGCAACTACTGCAAGATACTAAAATTAGGGGCCCTCGACCCGAAGGATCCTCAAAGACAATAAAAAAAAAGGAAAAAGTAGACGAGCAATGAGCATCCTTGCATCAACTACACCTCGTAAAGTCAGAAGGAAGACACAGACTGCACCATCTTTATATATTCCTCCTCGTCATTTCAAAAATCTTTATTACAAATCGTTGTTTATTTGTTTTCCTTCTGTGTGATATCAGAGAATATTGAATTCGACATGAGGAAAATGAAACGGACGGCTCTTAGAAACAGAGCCGCCATTGACTCAACTAAGGTTTAACTTGAAAATGAATTTTATTTTGCTATTAAAAATAAAAATCAGTAATTATTAATTCAGATGAAATTATTAGCCGTTAGTTTTAATAAACAGCTGTATTAAAGATGCTGAGAAACTATAATCGTGGATACCAATCGTTGAAACATTGTTAGCTTTTATCGAGAAAAACTTAAACTGCAACATGATAGCTGAATTGATGCTCTTTTCTTTTCTTTTTCTTTTTTCATTCCCTCTTTGTTTATGGTGTTTTAGTTGTTTTCCACGTTCGATTTTTGCTTTTCCTTTTTTTTTTTTTTTAAAAAAAAATTTAATTTTTATCTTTGGTGCCTTCACTTTCCCTGTTAGTTTGTTCTTCAAATTTCCCGAGCCTCTGTATAAATAACATGAGAAATGGACCGGTTATGTCTGCACCAATTCCTTTCTCCATTTTTTAGTAGGTAACATTAATCTTTCTCGAGATTTCTCTGCATTATGGCAAACCAACCGCCACCTGCTCGTCCATGGTTCCGTCTAGGATCCGTAGGGCGACCGGCTCCACCCACAGCACCTGCTCCTCCTGCCCCTGAGCCAGTTCGGCCTCTTATGCCTCGGCCTGCATTTTTGCCAATTGTTCAAACTGCACCACCAACTGCGACTGCGCCACCACCACTTGCACCTTCTGGCATTTCTGTCCCTGGTGTTGGTTCACTGCCTACTTCTCCCGTTAAAACCATCCCGCTCGCAACTGCTGCATCACCGAAAACCAAACCCACCGCTCCTCCACCTTCTTCTTTGGTTTTACCACCCCCCAAACTGAAATCCCAAACGGAGAACGAACCACAAATCCCACCGGAGGCAGAGCAAAAAACAGTGCTTGTTCAAAAGACAATTGAAAAGCCTAAGGGATGGTCCAATGGTGATTCCCATAAAGATATCGGCGTCACCAACGGAAATCAAGAATCCTATAAAGGTGGGGAAACGAACGGTCACAGAAAGAAGTTGGTATCAGATTCCGATAAGAGATCAGTCATAACAATCACCGGCGAAAACAGGGGAGCTGTCATGGAATTAATCCAGTCCCCACAGAAACATGGCTTCGAGGGCAAACCTCATCACCTCCAACAGAAGGGAAATCCCACAAACAAAGGTGAAGAATTGCATAACTACAGCAGCAGCAGTAGCAGTAGCAGCAGCGACTCCGAGGACGGAAAACACAAGATGAAAGACAAGGACCTGAAATCAAAGGCAAAGGCAAAGCCAATGCATGCATATGTGAACAGTAACGTGCAAGGTGTTAACAGCTCCCTTGTGTGCAACTCTGCGTGCGATTTCCATGATCCCGGAGTGCGCCTCACTCTGCCTAGAAAACCTAACGGAGGCGTTAAGGGTGGCAACGGCGGTGGCAATGGGAAAAACAACTAGAGGAACGCAAAGAAAAGGTCTTGATTTCAATCAATTTGGGTCACACTAGATGAGTACCATATTAAATAGTTAAGGAATAAAATGAATTTGAGTGAGGATCAAGGAGTAATATATACTTGGAATCTGATTCTTCAGTCGGTGTGATTGAAGACAGTCCGTAATCCGTAGTATCTTTGGCATGAAATTATAGAGTGGAATAAAGGTGAAGGTTCACTTGGTTTTTGTACTTCATTTATTTTTCCTATCAATTATATATTTTTGTTGTCATAAAAGAAATTACTGGGATTTGCTTTTATTTTTTAATCTTTGATAATCCTCCCCCACTCTCTAAACCACCCAGTGACTCAACATTAGAAAATTTTACAATTATTAAAAAAAATTATTATTAAATTATTTAAATTGTTAATAGAATTACCAAAACTTTAGTTATCATAAGAATTTAAATTTCCATCATAACCTCAAAATTAGACTTTTAAGAATTTTTGTATACTTGTTTCTACACACCCAAAATTACTATGTTAAGACAATTTTAAAGGCACACTATCATTTCATCATTGTGAGAAAAATTAAACTTCCTTCTGTTTGACTTTAATTCCAAGGCTTAAACCCTAAAACATGAATTTAATATATAATAGAACACTTAATTAAAAATAAATTCAACTCTCATGTCAGTTACGTGATTGCAAATGATATATGTAAGGCTTTGAGTTTCACATTAGCAATGAATTGTAAATGAGTATAGTATATAAATATAAAAATTTATCAATTAACAAAAATAAGTATAGAAATAAAATATTGTAGATAATTTTAACTTAAGTTTTTAAGAATTTATAGATCTTAATAAGTAGGCCAATCACTACTAGAATTAGGGTCTTATTCGGTCAAGATGGTTGACCGAATAAGCACCAATTTTGACCGAATAAGCACCAATTTTGACCGAATAAGAAGTAATTCGGTTAAATTGCTTGATCCAAATAACCTCTGTACGAAATAGTAATTCGGACAAAATTCATCTTGACCGAAAATGTTGGATAATTTCGATAAAAAAAATTGACTGAAAATATTATTGGGAAATCTGTTATTTTAAACTATTTCGGTCAAAATATTTGACCAAAAATGTTATTAA